TCCCAAGAAACAATCATGGAAATGGCTGATAAATACAACGGCCCCGAGTACGGGCGCTCCTTAAATGGAGCAGGGGTGCTAAGAATCTCCCGGTCAGCTAGAAACATGAACACATTTTCTAAAGAAAGAAAAATAGGTACATGGAATGTAAGAAGCATGTACGAACCAGGAAAAATTCATAACACCATCAAAGAAATGAAGCGTCTAAATATAAGTATCCTTGGAATAAGTGAAATGAGATGGCCGGGGTCTGGAAAAGTAACTGTAGATGACCACATTGTATACTATTCAGGAGAAGACAGCTCAAAACACAAAAATGGTGTAGCAATAATTGTGTCGAAGGAAACAGATGAAGCTGTAAAAAACGTCGTCCTATTCTCAGACAGGATACTGATGATACAAATACAATCAACAACAATCAATGTGAACATATTACAAGTATATGCACCCACACAAGACTATGAACAAGAAGAAATTGAAAAATTCTATCATGATTTAGAAAAAGTATTAGCACCTACAAAGAAACACGATCTCAATATTATCATGGGAGATTTTAATGCAAAGATTGGTGAAGGTGAACAGGAAGATGTCATAGGGAAATATGGTCTGGGAATACGAAATGAAAGAGGAGATATGTTGGCATCTTTTTGCGTAGAAAAGCAATTAGTAATAATGAACACAATTTTCAAACTTCCAAAACGCCGTCTTTACACCTGGAAATCACCAGCAGATACACCTGAACGAGTTATTCGTAACCAAATAGACTTCATATGTATAAATAAGAGATACAGAAATTCAGTATTATCAGTAAAAACATATCCAGGAGCAGATGTACCAACCGATCACAATATTTTAGTAGGAAAAATAAGACTGAGATTAAAAAGAGTTGCAAGGACGAATAAGCAAACAGTTACTATTGATAGAGAAACGATGCTAAATGATACTGTAAAACAAGAAATAACTAGTATATTAGAACAAAAGATGAAGTTAACATCAAGCAAAGAAGAAAGTACTGAGGAAAACTGGACGAGAATTAAAGACATCTTAAAGACTGTTCAAGAAACAAAATTGAGTGCGCTAAAAGCAAGAAAAAAACAAGGGTGGATGACAGAAGAAATACTGAGACTTATGGATCAAAGAAGAGAAGTCAGAAATAAAGATAAAAACTAATACAAGAGGATCCACGCAATAATCAGGCAGAAGATAAGACACGCGAAAACACAATTTCATAGTAAAGAATGTAATGAAATTCAACAATATGAAAAGAAACACGATACATTTCATCTGCACAAGAAATTGAAAGAGGTCGCTGGAAACAAATGGAAACAAGTATCCCAAAGTTTAGAAGACAGAAACGGACACAGAATATTAGACATCAATGAAAAGTTAAAAGAATGGGAAAACTACATTTCTGAATTATTTGAAGATGAGAGAGTAGAACACTATACACCGATTGCTATATCAGGTCCATCTATAACAGAAAGTGAGGTAAGACGTTCAATACAAACGGCAAAAAATGGAAAAGCACTTGGCCCCGATGAAGTAAGTGCTGAAATACTAAAGTTTTTGGGAGAAAATGGAATTAAAGCTCTGTGTAATCTCTTTAACAGAATTTATGACACTGGGATATTACCAACTGATTGGTTAAAGTCGACATTTGTCACAATACCTAAGAAACATCGTCCAAAGACATGCGGTGATTATCGGACAATAAGTCTGATGAGTCACGTTTTGAAAATCTTTCTGCGAGTAATACACAGCAGAATTTATACGCTGTTAGAGGACAGAATTAGCAATACCCAATTTGGGTTTAGGAGTGGCTTGGGTACAAGAGAAGCCTTGTTTAGTATACAGGTGCTAGTACAGAGATGCAGAGATATAAATCAAAATGTGTATATTTGTGCAATCGATTTTGAAAAAACTTTTGACAAAGTCCGACATAACAAAATGCAAGAAATATTGGAAACAGCTGGATTGGACGATAAAGATCTACGAATAATTACAAATCTATACTGGCATCAAGTGGCAAGAATAAAGGTTGAACAAGAACTGTCGGATGAAATAAATATAAAAAGAGGAGTGAGACAAGGCTGTATATTGTCGCCTTTACTTTTTAACTTATATTCGGAGGAAATATTTAAGGAAGCCTTAATGGAGACAACCGAAGGTATTATTGTGAATGGAGTAACCGTCAACAATATTAGATATGCCGACGATACCTTAGTCCTTGCCAATTGCGGAGAAGACCTTCAAAATCTAATGAACAAAATAAAACAGACTTGTGATCAGTATGGACTAAAACTCAACGTTAAGAAAACTAAATATATGATAGTTAGCAAACAAAATTATATACATGATGACGGTATAAAAGTCGGAGATGCCACACTGGACAGAGTAGAGAAACTCGTGTATCTCGGCAGTAATATCAATGAGAGCTGGGATCCAACCGCAGAAATTAAAAGCCGAATAGAACAAGCCCGAGCTGCCTTTGTAAAAATGAGAAACGTACTTTGCAGTCATGATCTTAGCATTGACCTTAGAGTTCGTATGATATCTTGCTACATCTTTCCTGTCCTGCTGTATGGAGTAGAAGCGTGGACCCTAACTGAGGCTATGCTTAAACGCTGGACAGCCTTTGAGATGTGGGTATACAGACGACTACTGAAAATAAGCTGGGTCGACAGAGTTAGAAATGAGGAGGTCCTTAGACGGCTGAACCAAACAACACAACTGGTCAATATAATAAAGAAACGCAAGCTGGAATACTTCGGTCATATTATGAGACACCCTGAAAAATATGATCTTTTACATCTGATCATTCAGGGAAAGATCCAAGGTAATCGTGGTCCTGGTAGAAGAAGAACATCATGGCTGAAAAATCTAAGGCAATGGTATGGAAAATCAACTACATCGTTATTTAGAGCTGCTGTCAATAAAGTCACGATAGCGAATATGGTAGCCAACATGATATCCAACGATCGATAACGGTCATGGAACTAGAAGAAGAACACAGAACCATTTCCACTTTTAGCTATGTGTGAGTAACAATAGGGAACACCGGAAAAGAGAGAATAGATGAAAGAATTCTTGAAGGCAAAAAAAACTATATAAGACCTGTTGTTACATATAGGATGAAACCAACGACGATTAGCAAGAAAGAGGAAGATAGCCTAATGAAATTTGAAAGAAAAATAATGAGAACGATACTGGACCCCAATGTAACAAGAGAGGCAGAAAGAAAAATGAAAACAAATGCCGAAATTGAAGAAGAATAAAAGGGAGAAAATATAGTTAGATAAATAAAATCTCTTCGCTTAGAATGTTAGAACATATAGAGAAGTCCACACAGATATGCTGAGAAGAATAACTAACTGAACACTACTGTGGCATAGGTGTAGAGTAAAGCGTAGAAAAAGATGGCTGGATGATGTAGAAGATGATATAAGAACAATGAATGTAAAGACTAGAAGTGCAAGGACAGGAAGAAATGGATACGATATCAGTAGAATCACGACAGCAGCAGAGACACATAGAAAGCCATAAATGACATAGAGGAATAATCCACCTCACCCAAGAATAAGATTTTTGTGCAATCAGTGTATCAGGTGGTTTCTGCCTAGTATATTAATTTTAAATTTATTGTCAAAGCTATATGTCGTAGCTTTTACATCAATGGGTTGTCCCATTACGATATCTGCTTTGACCTCCTCGATTTGCTTTCTTTCTTTCGATCAGCACCATGCGCCTGGTTTATATGTTACTTACTATATATTATTCTGTGCCTTAGAGATCTGGCTTCGCCTTGTATAAAGTTTTTAATGGACCCCGAAATGCAACGCACATGCTAGTCTTTGTATATTACTTAAACAGTCTTATTGTTTTCCTTATTTGCCCATCACATCACAGATCTATATGTTATCAATGGTCTAATAACCCTTAATTAAGCGTTAATGTTTATGACATTCACCATAAATTGTTGGATAGCCTAGTTTTGACGAAATGCCCCTGAAGATGCTGTAGGGGCGAAAGTACTTGGGCAAGATTTAATAAAAACTGTGCTCGATATCCTATCTTTTATTTGATTAAAATACAAATAATATTGATTTACTTTACATGCATTAGGATTTCAAAGAAGTTCGATTTAAAAAGCTTAGGATGGGGGGCCTGGGGCCTTCAGTTTAAAGTTATTGTCGCCTTTTTTGAGCCAGTCCGGCTCTGGTACGACCCTTCTGAAATTGTTTAAAAATTGATTTGACTGTTCACAAAATTGTATCACTATTTGGTAAATATTTGATATTTCAGGATTCACGTTTACGTTGATCATACTTTTATAATTTATCTGAAATTCTTTTATAATTTATTGTTTATTACTCGGAGTTTAGTTCTTTTTGTATGATTGCTTTGCTTGGAAAGACTTGTTCAATAAATAAAACGAGACGTTAATAACATTTTATTGTATTTACATAATCAAAGGCTTTATTTTGTACAGTCTGTAGTCTATACAGTTTACATGTAAATGTAAAAGGCACATATTTAATCGTGATAGACTTCTACAATACTTCAGAAACATAGACGTCGAAATATTTTCGGTACTTAGCTACACCAAAAGCTTTATTTTATTTCATAAAGTATATTAACACTATATATATATATATATATATATATATATATATATATATATATATATATATATATATTTCATAACGTATATTAGTAGTACAATAATAATACAAAAATTTATCGTTTAATATACTTATGTATAAATATACCGGCTCAGGATATACACTGAAAAAACATACAATGTGAAATCAAAATTAACTTTCAACTCCCTCCTCTATGCGAAAAAATAGTAATCGTTGCTTCTATTCTATAACACGAGACATAATTCAATCCTACAACTACCCAAGCACAGCTATTTAAGTATATGAAACTGTTACATTATATATAACTTAAATTAAGTCAAAAATAAATACTTATTAGAAGTCACACTATATATATATATATATATATATATATATATATATATATATATATATATATATATATATATATATATATATATATGGGCAAGCTTATTCCCACCTCTTATATCAAAACGTTAACGTCTTTATGAAATAAAACAAAAAACTCTACAAACACACCTTCACGTGCTCGTAGTACAATAAAATTATTATATAAACTAATCTATGAAAATCACATTAAATATCAGAACCCTGGTTACAAATTATTCAGCTAGAATACAATCCAAAAATCTTTCATTACAAAAATCTTTACGTATGACTTTCACAGTGAAATATTAGTGCAACAGCTACAAGCCTACCGGCAGTGTAAGCCTTAGGGAAACACAAAAAATATCCAGACTTCAAGTACTTCATTAAGAGATTACAAAAACAAATCGCTTCCATTGGATACGATGAACTAAATAGAATTTACCAATATTTTTACAAAGAGTTCACATATAATTAATACATAAAGTAAAAGCTTGGTAACTCAAATTTTGCTCTCCATGTCAATTCAGCCTAAAACAGATGAACACCCTGGTCAAAACTATGGGTAATACTGGCGGTTAAAATGTAGTACTGACACTGTTACCATTCTTTGTACGATCTAAGGTCCAAGAATATCATCCTACTCCGATTAACTCTTAAACTTGCTCTGGTAATATTAACACTAACTAACAACACATTTTGATATTTTTAATGAAAAAATAAAGTAGGTAAAAAATTTCTACAAATACTTGAATATGTTATTGTATAAAATAATTATTGGAAAGAAAGGCTTGTTGACTGTCCCCTACTTAGTTCTTAAGAGCGTTTCAGTTGTAAATACACTGCTCAATAAAATCAGATTAACACCGAACAAATTTAAGTTACAATAATATACGTTGTTTATTATAAAATGACGGTGACATCAGAACTACAGATTTGGCAAGCCTTTTACTAATTTGTTTACTAGTAAATAGATTGAGTCAAGATTTATTCTTTAAAAATAATTAATCATATGTAAACAATAATAATGGAATGGCATGTCGACCACCGTATCTCTGTATTTGTTGATTGTTTTTTTCTAAATCCAAGTCTCAATGTTTTACATCTTGGTATCTTCTTGATGTGTCGGGATTTTGAATGCCCTAATGTCGTATATCATAAATAGTAAATATGTAGTATTTAATGGTCCTAGATCTTACATTATCGTTTTTAAAAAGTTTGGATTGACGTTACTCATTAACATAGATCTCTAAATTTATATCAGTCCACTTCAATAGTATACTTAGAGGAATTTATCACATAAACTCACAACTTTCAGAATGTTTGAACAAGATTGGCGAAAGCACTTAACCTCATCTCTTTTTATTTCTATATATTCACTTGTCTGTTCTTTTATCTGTACTGTTCTTTGAGTAGATATTTGAAATATTGTTAATATCTTTTGTTTAGTCTAGGTTCTTTCTTGTTATAGTTGTATCAGACGCTTTACTTTACAGTACTACCAACCAAATCGATCTAAATAAAATAGCTGTCACCTTCAGTTTATAATAAGCTATATATTCGGATAAACCCGAAAACAAAATGAATCATTTATAAACTAACTGAACATAAATAAATAATTTAATTAAATAATGTAAAAACTGCCGCTTTTCTTATATTTTCGCAGCATTTCGAATGTTTCCAATTATTTTTTCAAATAAAACCTTAACACTATACAAAAGGTAAATCATTATTAGCTGCTGAAAATATGGCAAATAAATAATATGACAAATTTTTAGAACAAAAATACAAATATTTAATACAATACAAAATTAACTCATGACTAAATTACACAACACGCTGTATTTTACTCAGTCATTTGTCGAGTCAAACAACTCATCTATGTAGTAAACTATTATTCCAATACTGTGTAATTTGGTAATGTGGTTCAATGCCAAAATGAAAATATAATTATGAAACCAAACCTTTTCAGTTGTATCTAAGTAAGTAGTGCCATAAATCGTCTTCATGACAGTCCTAGACTATCTTTCACCACAATTTGTACTACCTAGAACTAGATCATCTTTCTCTTATGGTTCACTAGTCGATAGAGGGGAATATTGAGAAAATCTCAAAAGCCCAAAGATCCGTGGAAAGGCATATGTTACACAATACAATTTGAAGATCGAGAAACGAACGACTGTAGAGAATTGAGTAAAGTCGAAGACGTTTCATACGAAGTGGTAACACTTAAAATAAATTTTGAAGCTCATACTAACTTGACCAACTGAACAAGGGGATCAGAAAGGCGACTCAGCTTAACTCAGAAGCTTGAACACCGAGATATCAAAAGCAATTCGTAAAGATCCGACAAAGTGTAAATCAGAAAATACAAAAGTTGACTGAGGAAAATATACTCAGAAGAAAGCTTTGTGATGGTAAAAAGGTAATGATTAAAGTGAAACACAAAGAAGGTAGTATGAAAAACTATATAAAAGTCAATTAACAAAAGAGGGCAAATGACATGTCAGGGAATGCACCGAATAAACCTAACTTCTGTCAAATATAAATATAGAGGAAGTGGAACGAACCTTAAAGGAAATGAAAAACAACAAAGCTCCGGTAAACGAACTAACAGTAAAAAAAGCTGTTACAGTAGGAGCTGACAAATGACTGAAAGTAGTATATTTGACATATATGTCTAAACATAGAATGTCTGAACTTATTTTTTGTGGCATTTTTTACAATTTTTGGGAAAAAATAAAATATGGTAGTAGCCAAAAAATATTATAGCATATATAAAACAAGGTGGATGACAAGAAAATTGCATGGAGATTAGTGGAGGAGACGATGGGACGACTACGATCAAAAATGGATAGAATAAGATATGATGGAAGGAGATTATTTCTAGATAGCTGAGAAGAGTTAAAATAAAGAAACATGGATCACTCAATTGATAATGTGCTTAGAGCTTTAATTAAGTAGATAAGTGAATCGATTGTATACACTGATTTATATTTTATTGTATTATTGAAGAGACGTATTCGAAGTGAAGATAATCGCATTGGAAGAGTTTTTAAAGATTGTGGAATACAATTTGGTACTACTACCATTTAACAGGTTATCAGTTTTTGTGTAACGGTAGCAAAAGTGGTTTTGATTATTGACAAATGATACTAATGACGTTTCGACTAAATGATAGGACAGGTAGATACAATTTTGGAGACCACGTGAATGTAAGAGAGGAAAACCATACTGGATATGATTGATATTTGGAACTTATTTTTTGTGGTAATTTGTTCTACTTTTTCGAAATATAATATATATATATATATATATATATATATATATATATATATATATATATAATATAGTAGTAGGTAAAAATATATAGCAGTTAAAACAAGATTGATAACAAGAACACTGGATACAGATCGGCGGAGAGGCCAAGGGAACGACTATGTTAAAAAAATGGATAGAAAAATGTATGATGGATGGAGATTATTTTATATAGATCAGAAGTTAGACATAGAGACAATGTGTCTACAGCTTTAATTAAGTAAAAAAATGAATTTGATTACATATATTTACTTATATTTTATTGTATTGTTGAAGAGAGTGGTATTGGAAATATGAAGATAATCACATTGAGTTTTTGAAGATTGTGGAATACAATCTAGTAATACTACAATTTAAAAGTTCATAGGTTTTTGTGTATTAAAATTGTTTGAAGAGGTATTGGTTTCTCCTGTGTCGTTGATATGGTACCTTAATGGTAGAGAATAACGCCCAATTTTTATTATTATATCACACCTATCCAAACACATACTGATTTTTGTTGAAACAAATGGCCAGTAGTATGCAGTACAAAAATACAAATAAATTTAATGTAATATTATTATATTATGTACTATATTATGTATATTAAAGGCTATATTATATTAAAGGCTATACGCGAATAGTTGCACATTGCTTAAAATGTTCTATAAATTTGCCAAAAATAATGATTCACTGCAATAATGTATTAAATATCTTTAATGGTACACAGCCATTTTAAACAAAAAAGATATAAGACTAGAATGTAACTCTATGGCGAGTTATTGACTATATCGGGTCATTTACGGAAAATGAAGGCTCTGTATGAAATAATCCTCAATAAAATGGCAAGTTTGCAGTAATTGCATATCATAACTTCGAATGGAAACTTGTTTAATATGAAATACCTGATTTTCTCTATACTTTAAACCTTCAAAAATCACTATATGTCCATTGTTTATTCCATTATCTGTTAGATAAACCTTTTAAGGTGTTACATAATCTAACTTAAAGGATAGATAGAAATAGTTAATTTATATAACCCTCGTGATGTTCCAGTAAGAGTGAATGAGGTGAATAACTATTTACCAAATATTGCGAGTCAATAGTCATTCAAGTTTTTTTTATCACAAGTCATATTTGTATTTATCTGGTAATCATGTATAGAGGTCATATGTATCTCATCATTGTCTAAATATACTAGGATATTTAAATAATAAATGATGTCTTCTTATATCAATGTAAACATAGTATCGATCGTTCTAAGCTTTGTTAAATGTAATGTACGTAGCAATTGAAAAATATGTAGGTAACTTAACGTAAATTTTTATAATGTATGTATAATTATGCAGAAATAATTTTATATAATTTATTAATATATATCCTGTATCACAGTGATGCAATATGTTTAAGTCACAATTATGGTATTTCTAAGGAATTTAATAGTTTTTGACGTAGTTTTACTACTGGTATAACAATGAGGGTAATAAAAATAATTTATCTTTTATTCTCAAATGTTGACCAATTTGTTTGTCTCCCTCAAAACATTCACTGGATGACGCAAGTTATGATATAACTGGAACACATGCTATTTTGGAATAACGCTTATTCCGTAGCGAAAACCGTAATTGAGAAATATTTCCGTACAGGGCCATAACAAAAAGCTTTTCATTGTCCATTTTTATCCACGTTAGATTACACACTACATCCTGGGGTCACTTCATCCGTATTTTGCTGTGTCCAGCGACACTGGTTACTTGAACTACTGGTATCATTTCGTAAACTTTGTTCTAGCTCTAATAGTTGACCCATAAAGTTAAGATTGGGCGATATGATGGGGCGGGCTTCTTTTACTTTTTTATAGGCTTCCACCATCGACATCTGTTTGTATTTCATTATGTAAGCTATAGCTATAGTTGCGCTGCGGGAAATTCCAGCTTGGCAGTGGACCAACACTCTCGAACCATTTTTCCTAGCTGCTTCTGCAAAACAAAACACACTCATTAATATATTATACTCTACCATAGAGAAAAGCATATTATCTACTATATTAATGTAAATAAACCCCAATTTTAATTGAAAACACATTTCCACGTCGGAAATTGGTCTGAAGTCATAAAGTAAGATTAAGCAGTGTTGCCGATATGTGCGATATTTCTGATATATCCTCTATGAATAAAATCTTCCACTAGGGACTTTCAAACTTTGACAGTTGATAGGGCATATTGTTAAAGCTACACGGTCCAAAAATACGACCAAAAGACAAAATTCTTTTATCAAAATGGGTGTTCTGTTCGGGCAACGTTCTGCGCATTTCGCCCATTTTACGATCGCCATAATCGTCCTATTGAAATGACTATCGCAGTGTTGTCGATAAATTTGAGACCACTGGTTCAGTAAAAAATCAACCACAAACGTATGTCGACAAAACGCAAGATTTGCCGAAAACATGGATGCTGTCAAAAAATAAAAATATCTAAATCCACAAAGAGAGTTGGATAGTGGAGAATACAACTAAAATAAAATGTAATATTTTTTCTTTGATGTTAAAATGTACATAAGATCAAAAATTAATTCTTTCTTTAAAAACTTAATTTAGATGTTCATATTCAATAGTCAGATCGTATGAGTTTCTTCCATCCTTAAAATTAATGGCAACAAGCTAAAACCACCTCCGTCGCTGACGAAATCGTGATTTATAGAGAGCACATTCTAGGACTTCAAATTATGATGAAGGAACTTGCAGATAGCTCACAATACTTCGCTCTAAAAATGAATTTGACAAAAAAAAAATTATACAGACAACCCCGGACGTATAACTATAAATGGCAGCAAGCTAGAACAAGTCCAGGAATATATCTACCTAGGCCAAACTTTGAAACTTAACAAAGAGAACTAAAGTGCGGAAATCTCATAGAAGATCAAGACTGGCATGGGCAGAATTTGGAAAACTCAGTTAGATGCTTAAGAACCGTAAAATACCTCAATACTTAAGGAGCAAAGTGTTCAACCAGTGCATCTTTCCTATCGTTACATATGGACAAATCTGAACCCTAACCCATCCAAATATGAATAAACTAGTGACAACAGAAATGGCAATGGAAAGAGAAGTGTTAAGTATACAACTGTCACATAAAAAGAAGAACGACTGGGTAAGATCAAAAACAAAAATTGTGGACATCATAACAAAAATTGCCAAACTCAGATGGAGCTTCGTAGGCCATACTGCTAGACAAAAAGATCAACGTTGGAATGCCAAAATACAACATTGAAGATCTTACAAAGGTAGACGACCAAGGGGAAGACCACATATGAGATGGGTAGACGACATAAAAAGGACAGCCAGAATAAATAGGAAGTATCTTGCTCAGGATAGAGATAGATGGAAGGAGTTGGGAGAGGCTTATGTTTAAAAATGGACGATAGAAGGCGAAGAAGAAAAATATGGTAAGTTCCTTCTTTCCAGACATCTTACTTGGTCCTGAAGTTGCGAAACTGTAGAATCTCAGGTCCAATGTTTATATCTGAAGACTTTCCAACTATTTTACTTATTTCCTCTATGATGGTGAGGATTCCAAGATCTTGGTGAAAATATTTCTTGATTACATGAGACGGCCCATTTGCTGATGCGCCCGGTTTTTATCTAAACGGTTCTTCATCTCCGGTTGCTACATGTATTTGCTACTCCGTTTCCCATGCTCTAGAGAACCTTTTACGTTTCACATTAATTTGACTTGTACTGAGGGATATATATGTATGGTTTAACCTTTTTGACAAGCATATGATAATATGAATAAAGGCAGTATCATTCAGTGAGTATTATCTTAACTATTCGAATCAGATAAACAAGTGTAATGGTCAGAAAGTCGGTAAACATTAATTGATGAAATCATAACTCGAATTGACAAAGGTAAAACAAAATGTAAGATCAACCCTGAAGTCGCTAAAAACCATAGAGAAGTACAAGGAATATGTATTTAATTAGAATAAATTACAACAATGGAATAAAAAATAAAAATATTTAATTATCAAACCTAAAAGAAACAGCTTTTCTTAACAGAAAAACTGGACCTTCTGTATTATAAATGACATAAGAAGAAATAAAAAAAACATATATTTTTCTGGAAAAATAATAAACTACAATATTCTTTTGTCTCTTTTTTTTTTCAAGAATAATTTGACGTAGATATAAGGTTAAGTAATTTTCATTAGAAGCTTCTAAACTACTATTCCTCTAAGTTTGTGACATAATAAATGGTATTTATTTTAGTAGTTTATCAAGATCTGATAAGTTAATGATTCACAGTACATGAATGATTGAGTAAACTATTGAAGTGAGTAATGATCAGATCAACGAAATCAATGAATAATAAGAAAAAAAGGAAAGGAAAAGATATATGCCAGTAGAAAAGTCTTCTAAGAAATACAGGTAACATTTATTAGAATTAATAAATAAAAGATCTTGTAGAAATAATATAATAGCAGAAACTAATACTATTAACACAAAATCGACAATCATATTCAAGGAAAAAATTGTTGAAATAGCAATGCAAATTTTGGCGCCAATAAAAGAAACAATTGGATGAAAAACTAATAAACACTTATCTGAATTAAATATTTGGCAACTAATGTGTCACACATTTTTTTTCTTTTTTTTTGAAGGCGTCGTCACCGCCCGTACAATTGTTTAAAAAATAATATATCACATCGGAAAGGATCCAGGTAAAAATAACATACCAAAATATGTTTTAATTCTCTCATGCTTTTGCTTTGCTGACAAAAATGCTATTAAGGTATTTATGAAAAAACATGGCTGTCGTAAGCTCCTTTGTGACAGGCATATGGCATGTCGTCGCTTGACGGCTAATATTAGATTGTGGTTTAGAAATAAACAGGATAATGCACAGATTTAGTTCAAGTATGAGTCATAGTTTCCCTCTGTTTTCCTGTTGCTTCGACTATCTGTATTACCAGACTTTAGTCCAGACGCTTATGGTCCAAATTTACAAACACATAACAGTACACAATTGCGAATTAAATTTTAATTTTCATAATTTTATACTATTTTTTTTATTGACTGTGAAATATGAAACGGACCAAACTAATCAAATAAGAAAACTAACTAAGAAACTGAGAAACTAAACTAAGAAAATCGGTCAACAATATTGGTAGACGTGACACCTAAATATAAGAGACCTTTAAATAAGCATTGCAAAAGACTATTTATTACCTGCACAATAATATTACAGAGGGAGATATAATGGGAGGAATGAAGTTTAACCGAAAAAATCTACCCAACTGAATTGTCTATAGAAGTTTTTAGGTTTAGGAAGTAAGAATGTAATGTATGCAAAGAACAAAAGTCATTAATTTTCATAAACACAAATTTGTGGCATATATTTTGATCGTTCTTCTGACAGAGCCAAAAAAGAATTTAGGAATAAAACTTTACCAATTCGAACACGCAAGAAAAATAAAGTGCAAAAAAAAACGAACCAAGATGAATGCAGAGGCGTCAAATACTGCGTATCCTCTGTTACGTCAATCTCCCATCTCTAAATGGTTCTCCTTTTCGTTTATAAGTAATAGATTTAGTTGTTTAGGGCTCGTCTTGAGCTCTACTTACTACATTATCAGACAATCGAAGTCTCTGGAGCCGAGCGAATTCTGAGATAGATATTTCTTTGAACAGCTTTTTACATGCTTTTTTAGCGCTTAGGAATGTCATGGTTGCTTTGCTAAAGTTACTACTAAAAGTCATCCATAACCGAATATAGCACAAACTAGACATAGACGTTAATGATACACAATTTGGTTTTCGCAAAGGCCTAGGAACGCGTGAAGCTTTTTAATATAATAAAACATTTGATAAAGCACGACATAAACAATTAATGAATGTCCTAAAATCAAAGAAGATTGACTACAACGACCTCAGGATCATATCAAAATTATACTATAAACAGCGAGCAAAAGTACGTGTTAACGAACAGCTATCAGAAGAAATTGTCGCCAATTCTTTTTAATGTATAAAACAGCTGGAATAAAGGTAAATGGAACAACACTAGATATGCGGACGACACTGTAATCTTAGCCGAAAATATTGAAGATTTTTAGAGACTGGTGTGGAGAGTATGGTCTAACAATGAATGTCAAGAAGACGAAACTTATGAGAATATCGAAAACTCAAAGAAATAACGAGAATCTTCTAATAAACGGAACCAACGTCGAACAAGTGGACAAGTGAAACAGACTTTATTAGCGTAGAATGTCATGGTTGCGCAACCGGAGAGAGTGGTATGGATGTACATCAAATGAACTCTTCAGAGGAGCCGTCTCAAAAGTCCGAATAACTATGATGATTGTCGACCTCCGCCGCGGAGATGGCACAGGATATCTGTAGTAATTTCATGTTTCCGAAAAACTGCTTGCTCTAGTGAGTGGTAATTTTCGAATATACCTGCTAATTTGTTTGTAGTTGTTTAACTCACTGTTATTTCCTTTTTTGTGCATTAGCGCGATAACCGCATTGTTCCAATGATCTGACATTTTCCTTACTGCAAGACATTTATTACACTTACCACACAAAAATTAGTCATAAAACAACACCGCAATATAAATCTAAAAATTTCGTTACCTAATCAACCGCACTGATTATTTTCGGAGAGACTTATAGTCCAGTTAAAAGGACCAACTGTTAAAGTGTAAACAAAAAAAAGTTTAAATCAGGAAGACGAACTGTCGCGGTCTGAGTCAGCAGCGCAGCTAAAAATATATACATGGAGCCTGAAATATAACAAGAAAATATGCTTTCCAGAGCAGGGTCTGAAATTAATCTATAGAAAGTTAAACGCGAAATGATGAAGCGTTTTGAAATTGTTACTTACGAAAATGGGAATAATAATAGAAAAGACATATTATTATTCAAGTAAAGTGTTTAATAAAGTGATGACCAAAGTGGCGTACCAAGAAATATATTATATACCACTATTTGACAATCATTAAACCAAAATATATACTTTTAAAACAAATAAAATGTTTATCGGATGAATGTAAAATATCGCTTAAATTATTTAAAGTAAGCGTGAATCGAGTACTTACTGCATACAAGTTAAATATAAAATTTTAATCTATATATAATTATTTATATATGTATATATGTATATATGTATATATATATATATATATATATATATATGTATATATATATATATATATATATATATATATATACACTCAAAAATGTTTTGCATAATGTAATATTTTCAAAATTATCCACCAAATCTGGTGAAATCTATTTTTTTGTAACAAAATACTTTATTATATATTAAAATTAAATTGTTTGTTTTGATAAAGAAACAATAAACAAAATTTAAAGAATTAACAATTTATTATTATTATTTATAATATGTATTATAAATATATTTTTTAAATTTGTACAGATATAATAACGAATACTTAATATGACGTATTTCCACCTCTTGCATCAATGCAAGACTGAATGCGATGTCCCATGCTTCTAATAAGTGTATTAACGTAGTTGTGGTCCATGGTGCCCCATTCTTCAATCGCTGCTATTCTAAGGTCTTGTAGTGTCCTTGGGGGTGGCTGCCGGGACTGAATTTTTCTTTTGAGCATATCCCATCCATGCTCAATGGGATTGAGGTCAGGTGAGCAAGGTGGCCATTGTAATCTGACGATATCTTCTGTCTCTAAAAAATCTGCTACATGTCTTGTACGATGGGGAGGCGCATTGTCGTCCATAAAAATAAATTCTGGACCAACAGCTCCTCGCCACAAGCGTACAACAGGCCTAAGAATGGTATTAATATAAATTTGTCCATTCATGTTACCAACAATAGGAGTTAAAGGAGTTTTATTATTTAGCATGATGCCGCCCCAAAACATTATGGAGCCACCTTGATATGGGACTCTTTGGACAGCTTGATTAAGTCTATCCTGTCGATTTGGGTTCCTCCAAATCCTAATTCGGCGATAATCCGACAAAAGGCTAATTTTGGTTTCATCAGAAAATAAGATCTTTCCCCATCTGTTGTCATGCCATTGTAAATGTTCATTGGCCCATTCCAGTCGAGTCCTTTTCTGCTCTAACGTAAGCTTTGGTACAAACAATGGTCTTCTTGTAAATAAATTCGCTGAATGTAACCTGTTTCTAATAGTCTGATCGCAAATTACAATATTATCGGCTTGCTGGAGCTCTCTTCTAATAGCTGAGGCAGTCATAGAGGGGTTTCTCCGGGCAGTTAACGTTAAAAAGCGTTCTTGGACATTGGTAGTAATTCTGGGTCTTCCGCTTTTTGGACGATCGCTAACAGAATTCGTCTCTCGATATTTTTTCACAATCCGAGACAGATCACTCTGATTAACTCCAACCTGGACAGCAACGTCGACTTGTGTGTGGCCTTCCTCAATCAAAGTAACGATTCTAGCTCTGTTGAAATCAGATATCACTTGCCTATTCATATTGTTTACTACAAAGTGAATAAAACGCAAACCAATTTTTACAAATATCGGTGTTCGAAAACTGATGAACACAATATGAATTCTAAGAAACTCTGCGACCATTAAGAAACAAAAAACAAGCAGTAAAATACATTATTTTAGTAGACAAAAAAAATCAGTGCAAAAAATTTCAAATTGGAAACGTTCAGTGGCGTTACAGATAATATGCAAAACATTTTTGAGTATATATATATATATATATATATATATATATATATATATATATATATATATATATATATATATATATATATCGTAGAATCCGTATCGTTAACGAAGGATCTTTCCTACTGAGTTACATTCAGATGCAACAAATACCTAGCAGCCACCCGTAAGATGCTGGATGGTTTCTTGAGCATTCATATCGGCATTTATCTTTTTGGACCTGAGGGTCTGACGATATAATTCAGGTAATTTTTGGTTAGTATAACCTGATCCTTCTGTTTCAGGTAACATATTTCCTAATGTCATCCATGCAGAGGTTTACCAATCAGGTGTGCATTCCAATTATTAATATTATTATTTTTCCCATTTTGTGGCTATTGTGTAGTCATCTGTTTTTATAGATATTGGGTATTTTACGATTTCCAGTTACCGCATGATATTATATCAACACAAGGAATTCCTAAACTGATAAGAATACCACAAAGATTCTGCTAAGGAAATACAAATATTAATCAGTATTTTTGAAATTAGGAAGTTTAAATTCTAAATTAAGTAATAGCACTACTAATAAATGGTTATTAAGAATATAAGATAGTATGATTTTTATCACAATTCGATCATTTAGCCCATTAACATGGCTCCCTTCGACAAACTCCTCTTACCGTTACCTCATTGCAGTTGATTATGTCTGCCGCAGTCGAAACGTCGGGAAGAAATAAATCTAAATCACGGAAACTGGCTATAATAATTACAGACATTTTAAACTTACCAATAAACTCAAATGCTTCTTCAAAATACTGTTTCAGGTTTTGATGTTCGGAATCTGTAGCGGGTATCTGCTTGTACGTGATGCCGTATTCTTCATGGTACCCCGGTAACTGTGAGGTGACGTTGAGAACGCAGGTGGTACCCAATCCTCGGAGGCAAGACGGATCGGTCGCATCCTTCAGATTACCCAGATACAAAAAGGGTAAAACTTTCGAAGCGGGGAAAGAGTCGACATCTGCATGAGTGGCCGGTGAAGAAGGTGAGCTCCTATTCGACAAAGCCGACATCAATGTGTCCTCGCACAGTTCTTTGTATTTTCTGTGGAATTCCCTGTGACCTCCTGTAAAATAATTTATTGATAGTGGTACCTGGTATACTTGTAATTGCAGAGTAAATTATTTTATAAAAACATTATTAATTTGATTGTTACGACAACTAGATCCTATCAAAATCATAATTAAAATATTTAAAAAACACTACGAAATTTCTTGAAAATTGTATCAATTTAAATCTAAATACAAAACAACATTTCAAAATCTTTCTAAATATGTCTGGCAAAGTCTGACTAACTCTTGGTATTAGTGGTATTTCCTCTTTTAAAGTAATACTACTAGCGTTGTATTACTATTTCTCTATAGTAAAATGTTGGGGCGATCGTCACGGTAGTAGCGCCACGAAATACGTAAACCACGTAAACAGTTGGAAGGGTCCATTATTCACAAGCGAGTCTCTGGACTTATTGCAACTCTGATATTGTCCTTTTTTGTGTTGTTTTTAATCACAACCCCGGCATAACTCTGAAATACTTTAAATTGTTAATTTCCTTCCATTATTGAATAAAAAGAGTATAATTTTTTATTTATTAGGATTTACTGAAACTCCATCTTTCGAACACCAGATAGTTTTGTCGTTAGGCAAAACAAATCCCTTGTAACAAAGGGATTTTTTTAAATTGTTTGTCTTCGATTTCCTTTTTGTGCTTTTAAAGGCTTATGACGGTAACTATACCTCTTTCAGACCTCAAGGAGAATATACATCTGAATACCGGACAGAGATTTATGCAATCTTAAGGGCTTTTGAACTTAAAATCAATATATTTTTACAGATAGCTCGTGGCTCTCAGGAGCCCTAATGCTAGTGTGGAAGACTCTAGGCTACTGTGGGAATGCTGAGAGAAAGATAGAACTTCAACGTGACTCCAACTGGACCAGAATAAACGCAGATATTGAAGCAACAGCAAAATATGAGATAAATCACAAAAATTGTGCCCGTAAAAATTATTGGTTTGATGATGAATGCGAGGAAAGTCAAATATATCTACGTTTTCACTACGTAGAATTTAAATTATATGTTTGTAAAAACATGGTTAAGCTCTCATTAGTTAAAGTATCGTATATTTCATGTTTTCATCACTCTTATGGTTCCAATTTTATTCATAATAGCAATTATGAATAAAATTGCAGCAAAATATGAATAACACAGAATTGTCAATCAAGTTTTGAGGCGTAAAAACGTACTTTTACATTTATTTCCGCTATGAGATCGTCTACTACATAAACAGTGACTAATTGTGAAACCAATTATCTTATCAAGTAGATGATTAAAGTTACAAAACGTGGACATTAAGTTTGTAAATAAAACTATGTAAATTCTCTCATCGATGAATGAACTGAGGATAACCTACAATACAGTGAATTCAAATGATGAAAATGTATTTTTATGGCAAATTTGGAAAACACAAAATATATTTCTTAATCGGTTATTTACTATTTTATTAATTACTTCTAATTGATCTTTAATAGATAACCATATTGATTTATATGCTCATTATATAACATTTAATATTTGTAATACAGTTTAAAGTTATAACACACATAGGTACTACTCTAGGACCCAGGAGGGAGGGAGTTAAGTACCTATGCAGTTCTATATCCCCTCATTATCTTGACTTTTTTTGGTGCATAGATTCGATTCTTCGATGGTACCAAGCTGAAAACCCGTCAGATAATTTGTTCTTAACAATTTAATTGTTTAAATAATTATATCTCCTAAACTACAAGAAAAATGAAAATTGATCTTTTTGAAAAAATTTACAAAATGGCGTTTGGTAACCTTTGATCCAACTGTTAGAACCTGAGTTATAACAAATTTCGTAAAAAAATTGTAAAATACGCATTGGATGGCTTTTCCAAATATAACGAAATTTTTTATAACTCCGGTTCTAATAATCGAATCAAAATTAACCGAACGCCACTTTGTTAGTTTTTTTAAAAGGAACAATTTTCATTTTGGTAAAATTCAATATCTCATTAGTTAAGGAGATACAATCATTAAAATACAATTATTTATCTGGTACCCTCGAAAAATCGAATTTACGCACCAAAACACATAAAAACCAAGGGGATATAAAAATAAATACTTAACCCTCTGACTTCTAGACTGTACACACAGACCGATGTCCCACATATCAGAAATCGATGTACCGAACATTTTTTTTTCTTCGACAAAATTCCGAAGGATAGAACTGTAGGTAAATATGGAACAGTGCAATTTAGAGATAATTTAGTAGACAACTTTATTCTTCTATACTCAATCATCATCATCAGCACTACTACAGCTCTAGCTGTTCTTTCCCATTTTTGCCCATAAACAACCGACTCTAATTTGCCACGACATGCCTGTTACCTTACTCGTTCTAGCATATTTTAACTTCTCCAGGCGGCATTTTCTATTGAAAACTTCTCCAGAAGGCGTTTTCACATATTTTATCAAGTATTCTTCGAAATACTTTAAAAAATCTACAGATCATCTAGTAAGAAATCAAATAGATTACATTATGATTAAGAAGAGTGCAAAACATCAATTACAGGAAAACGTGAAGAAGTCAGATCGGCTATCTTTCAACTTCACGTGCCGTCTCCGTTTAGAAGTTGATTGGAGTTACAAGGAAACCACTCTCTTAAATGTCACAGCCAAGAAATCTTTCTTTTCCCTATAATTTTTCCATGGATTTTTTCGTAGAAGTTGATATTTATTTCCTCGCATAACATGTCCAAAATATTGAAATTTTCAATAGTGTGTAGTAGTGATTTCAGTATTTTCAAAAGATGAAATAAGAACAGAAAATTGTGCCCGTAAAAATCATTGGTTTGACGATGGAGGCAAGAATGTAACAAAAGAAAACAATGAAGCCTCCAGAAAGATGCTATATGGGTGGAATACTTTAACCAGATACTTAATATAGAGGCGGAAGAAGAAATCTTGGTAGACAAATGAGGTAAAAGGTACAGACGAGAGGGAAGAGGAACCACCAACGATTCTTGATGTTAAAGACACAGTTAAAAAACTAGCCAGAAACAAATCACCCGGAATATATAATCTCCTTGCTGAACTACATAAAGAAGATGGCTACGATTCCATAATGACAGTGCAGCAGCTCATAAAAGAAATATGGACAAATAAATCCCTCCACAGTGGTTGAAATATTGGAATACTTTGCATACACAAAAAAGGAGATGTCTTTGAATGCTCTAACTACAGATGAATTACACTTGTAAATGTGGCGTATAAAATATTTTCCACAATACTATGCCACCGTAAGGCAACACATGCAGAACGAATAGTATCTATCTCAACGTATTTTTGCATCGGAGTGCATCTAAATAACATTAGAAATGCTGATGACGCAGTATTGTTTGAAGAACTCCCTTAGAAGTATTAGTCCACCAATGAACAAGCAAAATTGCTTATAGCGGAGAAGAATAAGAAATTAATTACGGTCTTTGTCTAATTGTTTATTCTGGTATTTCTATAAGAATAAAAGTTATTTTTGCTATATCTTTATTCTTCATTCGATAACATTTTATTTTCCCTGCAATCAATTTTAAGCCGACAGAATACGGAATGAAGTGATAAAACAACAAATGGGCATAGAGGGCACTATAGTTGAGGATATTGAGAGAAAACAGCTCATATGGTATGGGCATGTGAGCCGAATATATATATATATATATATATATATATATATATATATATATATATATATATATATATATTTATATATCAATTTTAAATTTCAGTTGTGTTACAATCCTACTGAAGCTGAACTGGTAGACATAATCTTTCAACTTCCAGCACCATTTGTAATTGTCGGAGACTTTAACCACAATATTGCATAGGGTTCACAAACCACGTACGGCAGAGGAAAAGTTGTAGAGAACGTACTAAACATTACAGACACTTGTTTTTTAAATAATGGTTCCAACACTCATTTTAATATTTCAACAGGAAGTTTCTCAGCGATTGACCTAAGTCTACGTGATTCCAAAATATATCCTTCTCTAACATGAAATGATGAAATGTTGTAGATGATCTATATGATAGTAACCATTTTCCCATCCTAATAACAAATAATGAAGAAAAATCACAAGGAACAGTAATAAAGTGGAAGATTTTGAATGCTGACTGGGCAAGTTTCAGTTGTATACATGTCAGCATCAAAGATTTATTTAAGGACTCTTGATATTATTCAGAATACCGCATTACGAATATGTCTCGGAACTTTCAGATCCAGTCCAGCAGATCCAGTCCCGCAGATCCAGTTTTCGCTGTGAAACAGGCGAACTTCCCCTTTCGTTCCGCAGGCAACAACTTTCAACATACTTTGCTAGAGTGTCTTCGAATCAAAATAACCCTATTTTTAAGCTAATATAATAACCATATAATTGTGAGATCAATAATAAATACCAGATACTACCTCAAATTTTAGTTCCCCCTTCACGACCTGTTGATTTTTTAATAACAGATACTCATATAATATCATCAACTCCTCCTTGGATTAATAACATACCAAAAATTAACCTTTCACTTAATAATTATCACAAAAATGAAACCTAACAGCCAAATTCTGAGGCAATCTTTCCTACAGCTGGTCAACACAAACTCATATGACAAGATTCTCTACACAGATGCGTCTAAAACTGAGACAGGTGTCGGATATTCTGTAACAACTTCAAATAGTATCATTCAGAAGTTCTGCAGAATCCACCTCTATCCATACCGGAGAGCTGTACGCCATCTTACAACCATAAGGCTTATGTAACCAAACTGAAGCCAAGATCACTGCAATATGTACAGATTCGATGTCTTCCATCGACTCGATTAAAACTATTTATTCCCAACATCCATTAGTTCATCCCATACATGAAGTAAGAAACTGTCTCACTTCTTCTGGAACAGACAACATTAATCTGGATTCCTTCACGCGTTGGCATTTTACGTAATGAGGCTGCTGATACTACTGCAGAAGAAGATATTACAACCAAATCAGACATCAAATCT